GTGTTACAAGAGAGTAACAAACACAAAAAAGGAGGGGAGATAGAGACGATAGATTTTTTAATAGGAAAGAAGGAGCAAACCACACCAGAGCACCCGCCAACCACCCACCACTCAAACCCAAAATACCCCCCCCCCCCAAAAAAAAAACCCCAACAACCCACGCTCCATTTCCAAGCCACCCACCAATAAAGTTCAGAACAAAGTAACTTGGGGTGGCCACAGAAGCCACGAACTGTGAGATTTATTGAGTCAAGACATGTCAAATCTGTACATGAACATCAAAATGTCTGGACACCAGACTAGCTCCCTCTCACATCCAACTTTCTCTCAAACAGAAAGAAACTCGCAACATAAAAAAATAGAAAAAAAATAGACAAGACTCTCTCACGTGAGCCCTCTCACGGGCTCTCTTTCACACTCCACAGTTCAACACTCACATCTCATAAACACAAACAATTGTTACACATTCAGCTCTCTCTTATAATCATACACTGGCAGTTGGGAACTCGAATAAAAAATACAGGCAGGCTCTCTCTCTCTCTCTCTCACGCATGCACACGCACATGCGTGCGCACACACACACACAAACACATACACACAAACACACATATTCACACATCAAGATACATATACTCACAACAGGCAACTCCCCATCATAAACACACACATTTCTGACTCCAGCACGGACCAGACAACACCACACTCACGGCCTCACATTTACTCCACAAAATATACCCTATATTCTATACAATATCTGTTATTATTTCATACAATGAGAGTGACTTCATGCCAAATATTTCACACATTGTGCCAATTGTGTCATCATTGGTTAATTTGAACCTCTCATATGTCATCAATCATTTCATCACTTTTTTTTTCACGCTTCATCATCAGTCACTTCATAATCTTTCACAAATCATCAATCACTTTACCATACATTTACAGCCTTGTCATTTACAACACTCACCACATTGTCATACCCATTTTCATACCCAGTGACTTCATTACTTGTAAATATCTTCACTCCTAAAGTAATTATGAAAAGTAGTACAATGTGCTGAAATAACCAGTAGAACAACAGAAAAACCCACAGGGCGACCAGTGGGGACCCTGCTCTACTACCAGTCACTGTAAACTCATACAAACATCAGGGGTACAAAACTCTACAAATATAGAAAATAATATACCGAAACAACGGCCACAAGCAAGCACCACAGAGCACAGGCATACACATGTAGTATATATATATTATATTGACTCTTATGTCAAATAAAACATACCAAAATTTCTCATGAAATTTATTATATGGGGAGATAGTCGTAAAAGCACTTCATATTTCTGTCTATATAAATAAAATTCATTAAATCAACAGATCGACTGCAAAAGGGAAAATTTAGGCTTTCATAATTTGTGGTATGCGTCTTCTCTTCTTTTGGCAGGGAGTCATATACATACATACATAAAATACGGTGGTCATAAAGTTCCTGTCTGTACTCACAATATGGGTCTAAAGTGAAGCTGTACAGGGACTTTAGGTTCACTCTAGACACACACACACACACACAGACACACACACAAAATATATATAAATATATACATAAAACTAATATCTGTCACTCTATACCAAACAGGAGATCAATCACACATTTTTAAACTTATCTTCCTGTACAGTAAAACCTGCTGCGACAACTAATGCCTCTGTAACAATGCGACCAACGTCGGATGAAGAATGACAATTCATTCTACCTGAACATTTGACTATCAGAAGCTGACTATCGTACTTAAAATGAGGCCCTAACTGTGATAAACAAAAAGATAAACATGGGTGGTACATGGGTACTCTGGTGTGGTTTGCTCCTTCCTCCCTATCAAACATCTATCATCATCATCTCTCCTCTATTTTTGTTTTTTTTTCTTTACTCTAGCAATAACACCTCTAATCTTCAGAACTTCTTTGACCTATCCATGTTGCAAGAGCTGTAAAACTCTTGCTAAAACAGAAGGAACAACACAACCCACTACCAGATCCCTCCACTTCAACAAGCTTAGGTTGGTACTATTCTCGTACTTCCCCTCTCTCTGTTGACCGGTTGGCCAGTTCTTGTCGCTGTTTGTTCCTCCCAGAGTGACGACTTCTCAAAAGCCATTCTCTACTTCCATGTCACTACAAAACTTGGGTTTAATCCAGTCCCATCTTATCTGTACCCGACCATTAAGCAGTTTCATTCCTGGACCTGGCAACTCGGAAGGGGGAAAATAACCTTTGTTTACAACACATCAGATTAAAAAACAAGACAAAAATTAAGGGCAAAAGAAAAATATACGAACACAAAAACATCCACTCCCCCCCCCCCCCCCCCCCCCCCCCCCCCCAAAATGTGTCTAATGGGACTACATGAAGACTCACGAATCCAGCATTACCTGAGTCTGACCACTGGCTAAATATCCCTCTTCAACCTGCTGCCTAATGTCCAGGGACTGGACCAATGATGACCGGTCTGTCAAAAAGGGACATTTATGCCAAATGCAAACTAGTTTTACAGTGCTTGCAACACAATTAGGTCATATATGTGCCAAAGATTAAAAGTGTTACTAGAGTGTAACATACAAACAAAAGGAGAAGAGATGAGTCAGGGGTCGGGGGCTCTCGTGGCTTAGAGGTTAAGGTGTTTGCCTCTCATTCAAAGGTCCCAGGTTCGAATATGTGCAGCAACAGAAAAATATTCTCTAAAATTGTCCCCTTTCACCTCCTTTCCAGCTCTCTAGCAATGTTCTTTCGTCTGCACTTTCTGCCCCTACCCCCTCACCTCCTTTGCCCCCTCCTCTAGGCTCCCGACTCTTTCTGCAGCCTTCCTATTTCTACTCCTTGCCTCCTTCTTTCTGTTGTCTTTCAGCCACACACCTGATCTTCTGGTAAGAAAGATCTACACCTAGCCTTTTCGAACAAAGGCGACAAATTTCGGAGGTCCAGTGTGCAAGCTGTGCGCGTTAAACATCCCTTGGTGGTCTAAAATGGATAAGAGTAGGCTTCAGCCGCCGCCAGGGCAAAAATTCAAAATTTCCTACCAGCTGAAAATGTTTAATGTGTCCCGCGCGCTCATATGACCTTATGCAGTTGAGTTGCGAGCTCCGTAAAACACTTACCAAAAGAAAGAAAGAGATGAGACAACGACAGATAGAAAAGAAGAGAGCAAACCGCACCAGGGACATCTGTGACCTACAAATTAAAAAAGTCTTTCTTCCCCGTCGACAAGCATTGAAAGGAAGGGCGTTTGTGGCCGGAAGAGGGAAGGCTGTACAGTTTATATCATGCAATAATGACAGACCGGAATTGCTGGACTCAGTAGCCTCCACACAGCCATAGCCACATCAGTGAACACACAAACACACGTCCAGCATAAAGTAGTGACCATCACAGTCAACATCCAGGTACTCGAGTGACCAACACAACCATCAGGGTACTCAAGTGACCTTCACATTCAATCAGACAGCACAGCTTGTACTGCCCAACTCCATCCGTCCATTTGGAATTGCGTAACTTTCAACAACTGACCTCTGTCCATAAGGGTGACACAGAGCTTGAACTAACAACAAACTGTACATCTGTTCATTGATCTACTGACCACCGACCCCCCACACCCCCTCCCCCCCAACCCCCAGCCTGGGTAATAATTCAAAACAACCACCTCAGATAAGAACCACTGACCACCACCAACAACGATCCACTCACTCGGTCCTGAACTGTGAAGCAGTAGTGACCACAAACTACTAACTGTCTGCCCAATCGACCGGGCCGTGCAACTTGTAAAGAAGGTAGTGGCCAAGGTCCACTCAAGGTCATCAAGGCAGCACAACTTGCGCAGACTACCGCCTGGAAATGACCCTAACCATTCACTATTCACCTACTCGCCGGGGTAGCAAGGCTTCCACCGACCATCCGCTGACCAATAACTATCCATCGGCTCGTCCAGATAAGGTAGCTTGAACTGACCATCCACTGACCATTAACTATCCACCTGCTCGTCGGGGTAGCGTAGCTTGTACTCAGCCAGAGTCTTCTTGATGGTCTCACTAGAGTACTTGCACTTGCTGGAGTTGCAGGCGCAGGTGAAGTGCTTCCACTTGATGATCCAGAACTTCTCACCGTAGTCAAACCTGTCAGGGAACAACCAAAGCAGATGATGAGATAGCCCGAGTCAAATCAAAAAAGGAAGAGACGGGAGGGGGGGAGGGGGGAGTTTGTTTCACGTAGAACAGAACAAACAGGAGAAAAAGGGGAAACAAAGAAGAAAGAAGAAGGCAACAGTAGGGGCAGAATTTTTTTATTTTTTTTAAAAATAATTATTTTTTTTTGGGGGGGGGGGGGGGGGGGGGGAATGTTTTATGCCCCCATTGACACTACTTAATAAATAGCATTTGTAGGCCTATAGTGAATATCCCCACTCAACAAAAAGGTCCATACACTTTACAATCTATTTTATTATCCTACCAGCTTCTAGAGCACTCAGAAACATTCTTGGCTTCTCGAGGAGTGAAGAAAGCAAGTAGCCAGTTACCCTCTCAAACACTATCAAACCTATCTTAGCGGTCTATGGCCAAGTAAACCCTCTCCCCTGGATGACGATGAAAATTCCTGTAAAGTGCCTTCCCCAAAAATGACATTTCGTTCAAGTGAGAGCCAAACAGGAGGTGGCCTGCTTCGACCCTGCCTGTCAAAGCAAAACGGGTTAAGAGGGATACAACGTCCCAACAGAAGACAAAGATACTTGACAAAAGTTGTCCCCACATGGAAATTAAACCCATGTCTGCTACCTGCACCGGCAAAACGCCAAACCTATACACCACAGACACCATTATAGGAGACAGAGTGGATCAAAAGATAAAGAGAGGGTGACAATAAAGAAAAAAATATATGGTGTCAGTGGAGGTTAAGGCAGAGGAGGGTCAATAAAGCGATACATTCACAAGAGTAAATCATATAGAAGAACAAAGGTAATCTATTTCCGACATAAACACTGTACAAACACTCGAATTTGTCCATCTCTCTCTCTCGCCCTCTCTCATAAACCCAAACCGAAAACACTGTGCCAGCAAGCAGTCTATCTCTCACTATCACCAACACACAGTGGCGGCATAGGCTCCCATCCACACAGACACACAAAAACCAGAGGGTACATACCCTAGTTCCTCGTAAGCCTGGATGTCCCTTGAGGAGAAGAGGCAGATGCGTGGGAACCGCAGGTCCTGATGTTCCACAAACACTTTCACCGGGATCAGGTTTGGCTCGCACAGATGATTGATGAAGCGACTGATGTTACCATAGCGACGAGCGTCAATGCAGTACGTGTCTCCATCCTGCAGCAGAGGTTCATTTGTTTGAGTTGAAAGAATCAAACATAAACACACACACACAATTACTGTTATTTAGAGCAGGAAGAAGAGAAACACTGAGGGGTACAGCAGAGACAAAGAAAAGAAGTGGGACCTACCAGTGGTGTCCTCTAACCACCTCGCCTGCAGGGGACCAACGCATGTTCCTTTGGTTTTAGTAAAAGTTTTACAGCACTTGCAACACAATGAAGTCATATAAGTGCCTAAGAGAGTAACAAACACAGAAAAATGAAAGAGGGGAGATCAGGACCAAAGATGTTTAGTAGGAAAGAAGGAGCAAACCCCACCAGAGCACCCACCAACCACCCCCGCCATGTATGGTCCACAAGGTGAAGGCCAAAAAGAGACATATGTACAGACCAGTACAGTGATATTGCCACTTTTTAATAGTGAAGCCGTATCCTTACACAAAGTCTAAAACTAATACAGTCAGTGAAATTTTCCTTTGACACATGAGACAATTATTATAATTACTTAAGTTTGTATTTTTTTGGTATGAGTAAAGAGGGGCACACAGACACACTGCATTATTTACTGTATGGAAAAAAGCAATATAGACTGTTGTTGCAACAGAGGGAAAAAATAGAAATAAGACCAACCCTCCAACCACCCACAACCAAAACAGTGAACCATATCATGACACGCAAACCAACCCAATGAAACCCTATGTTTGGTTTTAGTAGTAAGTTTTACAGCACTTGCAACACAATGTCATACAAGTGCTGAAGATGATAGAAGTGTTACAAGAAAGTAACAAACACAAAAAAGACGGAGAGATGATAGATGTTCGATAGAAAAAAAAAAAGGAGCAAACCACACCAGAGCATCCGCCAACCACCCAAAAACCCTGCCGTGACACTTGTATAGCACAGTAACCCCCATATGTTGACTTCCTACATATATACTGTAGAGTGTGCTTATACCAAACACTGTTAATCCAAAAAACAACAGTGAACCGAAATCTAAACCAAAAACCCAGTTAAAACTTTTAAAAATTCAGTGGTCCCGCAGATTTTGGTTGAAGTGGACTTCACTGAGTACAAAAATACCCATGACAGCACAGACTGCTAGGACCAGAAAGACATACCTTATTGTCCAAGTCAAAGAGGTAGGAGTCATCTTCCCTTCTGTCGGCCTCCGAGTCAGAGATCAGCTCACCAATGTATCTGAAACACATAGGGGACATGTAAAAGATGTACGAATGTACGCTACACACCACATTTGCACAACAGCTACAGCACAACACAGCACACTGCAAAAAACACAAACTTTTTTTAAAAAATGAAAACATGCACACTATACACAGCATGGATAAAAGACAAAGTGTACTACCCAGAACACAACACACCACATATATCAGACAGACAGATAAATTTATGCCAGAACGCACTATTTATCACACAGGATGTCAACATTCCAGTACAGTACACAGCAGGTGTAGATCAGAGCACACTACACTGCACACAAAACATGTACTTCACAGTACACTACACAACAGACAGAGACAAAGTGTAAATTACAGTACACTACACGCAAGATTCTAAACTGTGTACTTCACAACACAGACACTGAACAAAGGTACATCACAGCAGGCAACACATTACACAGATCATCATCATCAACTGCCACATTTGCTGCAGACATCAGCGATCATGGTTCTCCATTCATTCCTTTGTTCGGATACTATCAAAAAAAGCTACATTATCCTCCTGGTCTTTCCCCGTCATCCACCTGTTAACGCTTCTCAAGTAGGTTGTTCTGGGTCAACCCCAGACAATATAAAGTCCACTGCACAATCATGTTTGTTTGTTTGAGTAAAGAGAAGCATATCGACACAATAGCGGTCATTCAGTGCTGGGGAAAAGTAAGACAGACAGACACAAACAACAGAGGGAAAGTAAAGAAGTAGGACCTACCAGTGGCGCCCTCCAACCATCCGCTAGCACTTTCATCACACCACAGATACATAACACATGCACAAAGAATAACATACTACACAGATTTGCCCTGAGTAACACAATACACAACAGTTGACTCACTCGCAGACAAAAGTTCCTTTGGGCACATCCATCAGAGTGCGGACCCCCCAGCCCCGGCCGTTTGTGCGGAACAGCTGAAGCCGACACCTGAAACATAGAGAGCATGCTGGGTCACATGAGGAGGTTTCATGTTTTTTTAGTAGAGGTTTTACGGCACTCGCAACAGCATAAGGTTATATATGAGCGCCAGAAGATTAAAGGTGTTACAAAAGAGTAACAAACATAAAAAAGAAGAAGGGGAAATAAAGACGATAGATGTTTGATAGGAAAGAAGGAGTGGGGGAGGGACAACAACACACAAAGAGAACACACACACACACACACACACACACACACACACACACACACACACACACACACACACACACACACACACAGATAGGAGTGCTTTTAGAGTAAAGAGAAGCACATTGACAAAATAACAGTCACTGAGTTTGAATGTTTGTTGAGTAAGAGATCAGATTGACACAATAATGGTCATTTAGCGCTGGGAAAAGTTAAGACAGACAGGAGCAACAGAGGGAAAGTGAAGACGTAGGTCCTACCAGTGGCAGCCTCCAACCTCCCATTGTCACAAAGTGCAAGAAAAGCGTGAGTCAGACAGACTGTTTTTGTTTTAGTAGAGGTCTTACGGTGCTCGCAATTGCATAAGGTTATATGAGCACCAGAAGATTAGAGGTGTTACATGAGAGTAACAAACAAAAAAGAAAAAGGGGAGATATGGACGATAGATGTTTAATAGAAATAGGAAAGAAGAAGCAAACCACACCAGAGCATCCGCCAACCACCCACTCAGACAGACTGAAACAACACAGTACCAGAAGTAGAGAAAAAAAGTAGTGCCTTCAAACCATCAATCGGGAGTACCAACATGTATACACATTGGGTCAGATATGGAGTACACTTATTTTTAGCTTTTTAGTAAGAGTTTGACCTTTACGGTACAGTACTTGCAACACTATTGGGTCATATAAATGCTGACAATTAGAAGCATTACAAGAAAGTACCATACAAAAGAAAAGAAGGAGCAGAGATAAAGAAAATAGATATTTGTTGTAGTATAGGGTTTTACGGCGCTCGCAACTGCTAAGGTCATAGGAGCGCAAATAGATATTTGATAGGAAAATAGGAGAAAACCACATCAGAGCACCAGCAAACCCCCCATATGGAGAAAGTTTGTTGTTGAGTAAAGAGAAGCACAGCAATGCAATAACTGTCATTTGGTGCAGGGAAAAGGCGTGACAGAAACAACAGTGGGGAAGAACAGAAGGAGGACCTACCAGTGGTACCTTTTATGATATGGAATGAGGTAGCTGGTAAAAAAAACCCAACTAAATCAGATATATAACAGTCATTTAGGGCTGAGGACAAGGTAAGACTGACATAAAAGAGGGATGGTAGAAACTACCAGTGTCACACCGCACACACACACAAACACACACACACAAACACACACCAGCACCAGCAAGCAGTAAGCGTGACTCACGTGATTCCATTCTGCACCACTCGGTTGTTACAGTTGACCCAGCAGCGACAGGCTCGATTACACTCAAACACCAGCGGCGGGTCCACCAGGTTCACTTCCTCCAGCAGACGACCACTCTGGGGACAGGGGAGACATCATACTGTTAAACACACTCACCAAAATACAGTTATTTTGGGTTTTTTTATTTATTTTAAAAATACTTTAACAAGATATCGGTTATTAAGTTATGGGAAAAAAAGCAAAACTTCTAGTTCTAGTAGAGATTTTACGGCGCTTGCAACTGCATAAGGTCATATGAGCGCCAGAAGATTAGAAGTGTTACAAGAGAGTAACAAACATAAAATAGGAGGGGGAGATAAGGAGGATAGATGTTTGATAGGAAAGAAGGAGCAAACCACACCAGAACACCCGCCAACCACCCGCAAAAGCAAGACTGAAATAACTTTTCAAAACAATATAGCAGACTATAGAATCAGCCTGACCTTTTCTCTTGTTTATAATTGTAAGATCTTTGATTTTTTAAGACAAAAATATACACTGTAAAGAAATGTGGCACATTTGTTGACGCCCATTAGTTCCAATGGCAAGTAGCTAATATATATTCATTATCACTATGCACTAGCATACAGACATTAATAACGAAAATAATTTTATGTTACATTTTGGGCTTAGTAAGGACAATCATAGGAGATTCGTGTCCATTAATTCAGAGAAGAAATGTCAAAATTATATTCACTTTTTCATCAACTGATGTTCAAGATTCAGCAACTTCAGACATATACACTCACAATATTTGTTCCTTGCCTTTTATACCAGATTGTAATTTATTTGTCACAGACGGATGAAAAGAGGCACACCAACACATATACACCCACACAAACACATGTTGTTATTCGTCCAGAACAAGCACACACACACTACTCACCTTATCATACCAACACTTGACACTACTGCGACCACATACACAGTACATGGAGGCACAGTCGTCCTTGCAGCGACAACTCTGAAAAAAAAAAACAGACAAAGGGGTTAGCAGCTGCATCGAGAAGTACATCAAAATGGTAACAGTGACAATAATAATAATTATAATTGCATTTATATGGCATGGATCTATGCTTTTCAATACACGCTGTTCTTTATAACTATCACTACCACAGCAGACCTTCGGCTCCCCAGAAAGAATACAGTGCAAGCAGCTGATTAGGTGCTTAAACGCTTGCAGACAAATTTTTCCACATCTTTAGTCGTGTACCTTTTCCAACAATGGTAAACAGAGGAAAGTTTTTTTTGCGAGGACACAAGTAGGGCCCTTTACCCAGTTGTGAACCAATGACCTTTCAGTTATGAGCCTAACAGATGCCACAGTCAGTTAAGTTTGAGTAAAAAGATGGTTAACAATACCATAAAGGCCATTTAGAATTTTTACAGTTTAACACTGTGTCATCTTTATTGGTTCATTAATTACATCTTTGTAAAATCATCCCAAAATGACCAGAAAGGGCTGGTTGGTCATTTAAAATTTCCACCGTAAACTTAGGGAATAGACAACAGCAACACAAGGCTTAATGCACACGTAGAGTGTGAACAACCCTTCCCACCAGCCTTGAGAGGAGCATTTCTTCCAAAAATGCTGACAAGAAATTATATCAGCATCACATCAACACAAAACTAGGCACGACAAAAGGTTGAGAAAAAAAGCAAGCACAATGAGCAACCCCACCTGTAGGCTGGTGATAATGCCGTTGATGTTGAGAGGCGAAGTCTCCACATTCTCCACCACATACAGAAAGTCCGTTGGGCACGCTTCGTTGTCTTCTGCGTTCACACAAGCGATGGGGTTCTTCTCTCGGCCCATGGTCATGTCCCTGAAGAAGACCCATTAATAGACAATTACGCACAAATTCACAGACTCCTATCTGTAACACAATACGATCACACTTACAAATTATCACGTCCCCAATACATTGCACTGAGACCCAATACACAGAGTCGTATCCCTGCAGATTCATTCACATCAGCCGGGCTGTGCTCTTCTGAAAGCCAGCATCAAACTTGCAGAGTCGACGAGCCAAAGCAAATCTTCTGACTCTTCATCTCCGAAGGGGGTAAACCAACTATACCGGGACCCTCTTTTGGCAAGAAATCTAAAAATGACATATCCGCCACTTAATTGGTCATTAAATCAAAACAAGAGAACTTATTTTGATAGTTCATCTTATGAATGAACTCCAAGTGAAAGAATCCTGTTTTCAGAAATTGCCCTAAACATATTATAATGGAAATGCACTGGATAAATGCCATTTATTACCATTATCAAAACACACATACCTTTCCAGCAGTTTCTCAGGCTGAATCAGTTTCCTGGCTGCAAAGCTGCGTAACTGTTGGTTGACCTTGAGGGAAGTCCATACTGGCCCACACTTGTTGCTGCACGCCTACAGGAAGGGTGGACAATATGAGGTTGTGTTAGTGAGTCAGTTACAGTTTGATTGAGTTAAGAGGAGCACAACACAGTGAGTCATTTTGTATACAAAAAGTAAATTAAACAAAAACATCATATGCAAAGAAAAAAAAGTGGAACCTATAATATGTATGCTATATATTACCATAAATATTGTAAAACGCCCAGAGCTTGCAATTGAGAGGAAATTTGCACTATACTAATGTTATAAGTTATAATTATTATCATTATCATAGAACTCACCTAGTGGTGCCCTCCAACCACTTGTAGTTTAATGGGGGGGGGGGGGGGGGAGGAGAGACAATTGTTGTCAAGCTATTATTTTTAACTTATCTTGATGACAAACACATTTTCTATGCTCTCCTTCTCCCTCTCTTCCCAAATCAACGGCAGATACTTCAACAAACCCAACCCTCCCACTACGTCCACTACTCCCCTAAAAACCCACGTGCCAGAACACCCACCTCGACAGGCGTCTCATCCTTGTTGTTTTTGGTGTCCACGTCTGCACCACGGGCTAGAAGCAGTCTGAGGGGGTGAGGGAAAAAAATAACAGTTCCTTACAAAATGGGACGCAGCTGGCACATCGTCACACTATTATTATCTACGCAGTACAGAAGCGCTTCCAGGACCACCATTATTCACATAGTAAAACTACTCTTAAACAATCAAACAAATAGCTGTTCTCACCATAATTCAAATAGAAAAGTTGTACTCATCTGCCCACACCAACACATGCCCACAAATTCATATGGTTAAGTTTTGTTCCCACAACAGAAATAAACCCAACAAGGGCATAAAACTTGATTATGTTCACATCCATGTAATAAAAACCCCAAATGGAAAATGTTGAAAGAAAAGAGGAGATGCACAGGAGAGAATGTATATTTTATGCATTAAAGAGGGGGGGGGTGGAGAGAGAGAGAGAGAGAGAGAGAGAGAGAGAGAGAGAGAGAGAGAGAGAGAGAGAGAGAGAGAGAGAGAGAGAGAGAGAGAGAGAGAGAGAGAGAGAGAGGGGGGGGGCAGAGAGAGAGACAGAGACAGAGAGAGAGACAGAGAGACAGATGGGGGGGGGGGAGGAGGGAGAGAGGGGGGTGGAGGGAGGGAGGGAGAGAGAGGGGTGAAGAGAATGAGATAGAGAATGGAAGACGAGAGAGTGAAAAATAAATAGGGAGGAAAGATGTACTTACACCACTATGTCATAGTGGTCTTGTCTGGCTGCAATGTGGCTGTGGAGAAGATCAGAACACAAATTAAATACGAGAAACACACACACACACACACACACACACAAACACACACACACACACACACACACACACACACACACACACACCAGCCTCTCACTGACAACACAACAAAACACAAACACACACACACCCACACACCTCATTAACATTAACACTTCACACACACATACACACACCTCATCAAAATCAAAACTTCACCAGGCTTGACAACTTTCACAAAACCTATCAAGGACACCAAAAGATATAATATCAGATTACATGTAACAACCAACACAATTACATCAAGTGGGACTGACTTTGACTTAGTGTATGTCATACGGCTCTCAAATTACTGTTGCTAAATCCAGGACAGTCCCAGGAAAATCAGGACAGTTAGCAAGCCTGTTTCACACACATAAAATATACAGCTCTCATCAACGTAAAATAACACACAGCTCATTACATAAAGCTTTCAGCAATAAGAGTACAGTATAATGCACACAGTTCACTTCACATACCTCTCACTAAACTTGAAACAATAAGCACAACTCTCACTGACCCTTAAATAACAAAGAGTGAATAGAAGGTGTGTTAAGTAAGAAAGTTGTATGAAGACTGGAGTGTTGTGGAAACTGTACGTCGAATTGCATGTCCCTATAGAATTACTTTTATAAAATGCAGTCAGTGCGCCATGTACCCACAGTGTTTAGATAGTGTGTTGTGAATGTAAAGTGTGTAGATGACATGTCGAGTAGTCAGAATGTGCAGACATTGTGTCATGTACATGCAGCGTGTAGACGGTGTGTCACATAATATACAGTGTGTAGACAATGTGTCGTGTACATACAGTGCTCTATCGCCATGCTCGTTAGGAGTGTCCATTTCACAGCCCATGTCCAGGAACATCTCAGCAATCTCCAGACTGCCCGAGTAGGCTGACCAGTGAAGGCCTGTGTTCTCCTCCTGTGCCAAGAACAAGTGTATGTTTAGATTTAGTGATAGTAACAGTTTTACAGTACTTGCAACACAAAAAAGTCACATAAGCACCGAAGATTAGACGTGTTACAAGAGAGCAACAAACACAAAAAAAGGAGGGGAGATAAAGATGATAGATGTTTGATAGGAAAGAAGTAGCAAACCACACCACAGCAGTCGCCAACCACTAACGCAAAGTGCACATCATACACAGTTTCATCATAGTAAAGAGAAGCACTTTGACACCACAAAGGCCATTTAATGTAGGGGAAAAGTGAGACACATGAAAATAATAAAATGACTGAAAATTTATGTAGCACTCTTCCCCCATTAAAAAACACAGGCTTCAGCACTTTACAAATACAGGTCGCAACACAGACAAAAGACAGAACCAAAAGAGGGAAAGAGGGAAAGAGCAGAAGTATGACCCAACAGTAGTACCATCCAACCACTAGACTGCTCTGGTGAGGGGGGGGAGACACATAAATGAAAAATGTATACATCATACATGAACACTTTACACCTTCCAAAACGACATCTGACAGTCACTACTCAAAAAAGTAGCAGAACAAATATATGGTAATACAAAACAGAAGCTCGTGACAGCACAGAAGTAGGAGAAAGTAAAAAATCTGGACACAACTCCAATCTACTTAGCAGCAAAGAGATGAGCACACAAAGTCACAACTTCCACAACCCTCCAACCACCCACGCCACACAATTTGTCGAGTCGGACACACATGTGACAAACTGTAGTGTGTCCGCATCACATACACAAACACATATGCGTCCAAACAAAGACTCAAACACAAAAGCACTTACACACACACATACACAAAAACATTACACTCTCCCCGGAACTCACATTGTCCTTCTGGTTGGGATCCCCGCCCTGAGACAGCAGATACTTGACCACATCGGTCAGCAGCGACTCGGTGGCCCAGATGATGGGCGTCCAGCCACCGTCATCCTAAAGGACACAAGACACAGCACAGCCAGGTCAGAGATGAATGCACAGGGGGGTTTTTTTGTTGTTGAGTAAAGCAGAGAAAGACATCAAAACAATGACAAGTCATTTTGTTTTAGTAAGAGTTTCGCAGCACTTGCAAAACAATTAGGCCATATAAGTGCTGAAGATAAGAGGTGTTAAGATTGAGAGTAATAAGCACATAAAAGTAGAGGAGATTAGAATAATACATGTTTGATTTGATAGGAGAGAAGGAGCGTACCACACCAAAGCACCCACCAACCACCCACAGTTATTTCGTACTAACCTGATATGTTTGAATAAACAGAAGCACACTGAAACAATAAAGGCCACTTGATGCAGGAAAAAAAGAAAGACAGATAGAAAAAAAAAACAAGGAATGAAAAATAAAGACATACTAGTGGTGGCTTCCAATCACATTGGGATTAAAGAAGGAGAAGCACATTGATAAAAAAAAATTTAATTTAGTACCAAGACAAAGCGAGACCGATAGACAGAAATAACAGCCAGAAGACATGGAGCAGACATTTCCACAAGGAGTAGCTCTATTGTAGTCCTGTCCCCCCTCAGTCTGAGCCCAGGACAGGCACACAGAGAGGACATGGGGGGACAAGGACATTATGCTGTAGCACCACGATGAACCACACAGGGTACACGCCCCGTGAGGCACTTTGTGGTGCACGCTACACGCTTGACACATGTTGGGGAACACACAAGACAGGTCACTTGACGATGACACATTCATATCAACTAGTTGTTTTTTTTATAGTAGAGGGTTTCACAGTGCTCCCAACTGCATAAGGTTATATGAGCACCAAGGGGTGGGTGTGAAAAGAGAAATCTTTACAGGGAATCAGACTTAGATTGCTCACCTCTCTAGCTTTAACAGCACAAGGTCTGCTTCGACTATCAAGGCACCCCGGAAATAGCAGGTCACAAGAGAGTGACAAACATACAAAAGAAGTAGAGGAAAATGACAATATAGTAAGGATCAGGAAAGAAAAGGCAGCAGTTCCCTGTTGTAGATCAGGCAGTTATGAGCATGACATGAATCAGCCCATTTACATTTCTACTTTGCTTGAACAAGAAATGTCCCCCCTTTGGGAATGGCCTAAAGACACTTCAGTCAGTGGCACTGCCCCAGGGGGTTAATTTTTTTTTTTTTCAGTTTTACTGAGGTTTATGGCACAACACAAATAGGTCACATAGTGCTAAAGATACTAGAGAGTAATATACGAAGAAAAGAAGATGAAATAAGGACAGTAGATATTTCAAAAGAAAGACGGAGCAAACTACACCAGCCTACCACCCACACACATTCAGACACCTATACTTTAAATAGTAGCCTCTAGTGTAGTCCTGTCCCCCCTCAGTCTGAGCCCAGGACAGGCATACAGAGAGGACATGGGGGACAAGGACATTATGCTGTAGCACCACGATGAACCACACAGGGTACACGCCCCGTGAGGCACTTTGCGGTGCACGCTACACACTTGACACACATTGGGGAACACACAAGACAGTTGGGCTTCATGAAACAACCAGGTGACCTATTTCAATGACACACATCATAGTCATACTCACACAGCATGCATATCACCGCTCAGTCACAGATTATTTTTAGAGAGAGTGAAACCCTTAACACATTCATATTAATTACGCTTTTTCAGTCTTAGTTAAGAGCTTAAATGCACTTAAAACACAAAAAAGTCATAGTGCCACAGGTTATGTGTCACAAGAGAATATAATACAAAGAAAAGGGGATGGGATCACTTGTACGGACATGTAGACATTTCATAAGAAAGAAGGAGCAAACTACACCAGCCTACCATCCACACACATTCAGACACCTGTACTTTAAATACTAGTGAAAAATCCCGAAGACATGGAGCAGACATTCCCTCTCATTGTAGCTTTAGTGTAGTCCTGTCCCCCCCTCAGTCTGAGCCCAGGACAGGCATACAGAGAGGACATGGGGGGACAAGGACACTATGCTGTAGCACCACGATGAACCACACAGGGTACACGCCCCGTGAGGCACTTTGTGGTGCACGCTACACACTTGACACACTTTGTAGATCACACAAAAAGGTCACTTGACAGGACCAAATGTAATATAATGTAATAACCCATTCATATGCTGTTGTTTTTAGCGATCCAGGACCCATTCATATCAACTAAGTCTTTCGGTTTTAGTGATAATTTTACGGCACTTAAATACAAATAGGTCACATGGTGCTAAAGATACAAGAGAGTAATAATATACAAAGAAAAGAAGATGAAATAAAGACAGTAGACATTCCAAAAGAAAGACGGAGCAAACTACACCAGTCTATGTGAGTCTAGCACCCACACACATTCAGACACCTATACTTTAAATAGTAGCCTCTAGTGTAGTCCTGTCCCCCCTCAGTCTGAGCCCAGGACAGGCATACAGAGAGGACATGGGGGGACAAGGACACTATGCTGTAGCACCACGATGAACCACACAGGGTACACGCCCCGTGAGGCACTTTGTGGTGCACACTACACACTTGACACACTTTGTGGATCACACAAAAAAGATCACTCGACAAGACACAATGTAATATCATAAAATGACAATTTCATATCAATTAAGTTTTTCAGTTTTAGTGAGAGTTTTACGGCACTTAAACACAAATAGGTCATATTAGTGCCATAGATAGAAGAGCGTAATATACATAAAAAAGAAGATGAGATAACGACAGTACATATTTCATAAGAAAGACAGAGCAAACTACCCCAGCCAACAACCTCAATCAATACCTTCAGACACCTGTACTTTAAACACAAGTGAAAAATCCCGAAGACATGGAGCAGACATTCCCTGTCGTTGTAGCTCTAGTGTAGTCCTGTCCCCCCTCAGTCTGAGCCCAGGACAGGCATACAGAGAGGACATGGGGGGACAAGGACACTATGCTGTAGCACCACGATGAACCACACAGGGTACATGCCCCATGAGGCACTTTGTGGTGCGCACTACACGCTTGACACACTTTGGGGAACACACAAGACAGTAGGGCTACAAGACACAAAGACACACATCACAGTCATACTCACAAAGCATGCATATATCACTGCTCACTCACATATTTTTTTAGAAAGAGAGAAACCCTGAACACATTCATATCAATTAAGTTTTTCAGGTTTAGTTTTACTGCACTAGAAACACAAAAAGATCACATAAGTGCTGCAGATTATAAAATTTAAAATGTTATTTTAAAACCGAGATTTTTGCCACAAATTTTTTACATTTCAATCGAAACATCAACCTCAACCAAGCCATGCTGTGAATTGTGAATGCAACCAACTTGTGTTTCGTGTGCTGATTTTACCGTACGCAGTTGCGAGTGCTGTTAAACTCTTACTAAATTTTAAAAAGGAAAGTACCAAGAACAGAAGGTGAAGAGATAAAAACAATAGATGTTTGACAGGAAGGAAAGAACAAATTACACAGAAGAACCCATCCAACAACCCATACATTATTCAGACACCTGTACTTTAAATACTAGTGAAAAATCCCGAAGACATGGAGCAGACATTCCCTCTCGTTGTAGCTTTAGTGTAGTCCTGTCCCCCCTCAGTCTGAGCCCAAGACAGGCATACAGAGAGGACATGGGGGGACAAGGACATTATGCTGTAGCACCACGATGAACCACCCAGGGTACACGCCCCGTGAGGCACTTTGTGGTGCACGCTACACGCTTGACACACTTTAAGGGAAACACACTTTTCACAGCATGCTGAATACATGACAAGCATGCATTTAGCATTGCTTGCTATACTCATGACATGTACGCCATGAACACAAATTGAGAAAAGAGAAGTACAATAGTACATGGACAGAATTGTAGTCAGTTTGTGGAAGGAAAAAGCAAGATAGAAACAACAAAGGGAAAGAAAAAAAGGTCCTGTCAGTGGTGCTCTCCCACCACAAAAAGCACACACTATGATAAACTGTACTAAACATTTGTATACCATCCGAATTCAGTCATAGTACCACACGCAAGTATGTGAAAACATATGTGCTATTTTGTACGATAGCTATGTATGTGTGGTGAACATGATGATAAGCGAATGCAAGCAAGTATGTTTCAAGTATGCGAGAGAGTAAAGGGTGTGTGTCAGCATTTATGTGACCCTACGCCCCCTAAAAAAATCGATACAATAATGCGGTGCGAGGAAGTATGATGTGTGTGCCTAGCGCCATCTCCAGATCGACAAAATACCAAGAGCTGCTGAGACAGAGGCGACCAGAACACAAGGTTCCTGTAGCACCACGATGAACCATCCAAGCCTGCAGAAAGGGCTTGTATGGCACTTTGTGGTGCATAACACATGTAGACAGAAACACACACACATAAAACCACACACACACACACTGTGCAAATACAGACAACACATCTATAAGATTTGACATCCTCTAAACACCAACCGCATCAAACCGATCCAAGACGACCACCCACTGTCAAGGAGGAAAAGCGGTTATCTTAGACAGGTGGTTTTCTTGGACAGTTCCACTTCAATATTTTTTTTTTTAATGCAGATGGGGGAGGGTGTGATGGTGGTAATTCAAACAGGTGACTGTCTCAAACAGGAAGTTATTAGTGCAGGTACAGCTGTACTTTGGCAATACACATGCACACCTGTCTCACTTCCTACCATCCCACAACTCTCTCTCTCTCTCTTTTTTTTTCTCCCCCCCCCCCCCCCCCCCATATATCAATTTTTTATATTCTTTTCTGCTCTTTCTCGTACTGTTACGTCACAATTGATCTCTCTCTCTCTCTCTCTCTCTCTCTCTCTCTCTCTCTCTCTCTCTCCCCCCCCCCCCCCCCCCTCTCCTTCAGTGCACATACCTGCACATTGACATTAAGCTGCTTGGTCTCTAGGATGTGACGTATAATGTCTATGTATCCTGCCTTGGCTGCGTAGTGCAGACTGGTCATCCCGTCCTCACCCTGTAGCGAACAAAGAATGCTTGATCAAACACACAGGGGGGGTAGGTGATCAGAACAATACACAATGAGATCTGCATCACAATCCATGCATGGTATAAGGGAGATAATGTAGGATGATCCACAGAGACATAGACAGTGACAAGGAAGACAAAAAGACAACACAGCCAAAAAGAGACAGAGAGAGAGCAAGCCAAAAAGAGACAGAGAGAAAGAGCAAGAGAGATAGAGGGAGAGACAGAGAAAAAGACAAAAAGATACAGCTTTGGGTTTGAAAATAGAGAAAAAAATTAATACACTAATGAAATTGATACAATAATAACCATTTCTTGCTTGAAGCAAAAGAAGAACACCCATCCCTTGACGCCAAATAACTACCCAGAGAGAGCGAGACAGGCAGACAGACAGCCGCTAAGAGAATAAGCAACAAACATACCCTGTCCTCCACCTTGGCCCCGACCTTGATGAGGAACTGTACCACACTGAGATGTCCATTCTCCGCCGCACACATCATGGGGGTCCTCAGGTTCTTGTCCTGAGCGTGGGTCTCACCGCCAAACTGATGGGATAAGGAGAGAGTAAACGTTTTAGTAAGTGTTTTACGTCATTTGTAACACAACAAGGTCATATAAGTGCCAAAGATTAGGTGTTACAAGAGAGTAACAAACGCAAAAAAGAAGGAGGGGAGATAAGGACGATAGAAGTTTGATAGGAAAGAAGGAGGAAACCACAGTAGAGCACCCACCAACCAAATATAGCGGGTAAACGCTGTGTGAGTGACCATATTATCTAACCAAAACAAAACTGGAGGTTGGGTTGCAGGGAAATCTCCAACAACCTGTAACACATGCCCGGGGGAGTGAAAGTAGGAGGGTTTTTTTTTAGTTTACTTTGGTAAGTATTTTATTGCGCTCGCCGGTCATATGAGCACATAGGACACACTAAAGATTTTAGGTGGGTAGAAATTATTTTTGAATTTTGTCCAGGTGACAACCAAAGACTACTCTTACAGATTTTGGACCACTATGAGATCTTTAGTATGCGTATCTTGCACATGGGACCTCCGATATTTTTCACCCCTATCTGAGAAGGCTAGTTGTTAGCTCATACGTACCCTAGAATGAGGGGTGTGGCTGAAAGACAGCAGTAAAAAGGAGCCAACGAGCAGCAGTAGAAAGGTTGCAGAAAGAGTCAGGTGCTCAGAGAAGGGGGCAGGGGTGGGAGCAGAAAGTGGAGATAAAAGCAGACAGCAGAGCATTGTTAGAGAGCAGGAAAGGAAGTGAAATGAGAAAATTTTAGAGAAAAACACAATTTTCCATCGCAGTCAACTTTTGAACCCGCGACCTACTGAATGAGAGGCGAACACAGTAAGCTCTAGACCTTGAAAACCCCCTAGGAGGGTTTGCACAGGTCACAATTTAGTCACTTTCTTCCCCCCTCACAAAATTAATTAATCAATTAATTTAAAAAATAAATATAAATAAATAAATACATGAGCTTTGGAGAAGGGGGAGAGGGGGTGGGGGCCCGCCATATGCCTTTGTGTGTGTGTGTGGGGGGGGATTACAATGGGGGCAGCACGTCACTTAGTCTCATTGCTATCCCAAAGACTACAATAGAGGTCATAAGCTCTCCCCAAGAGAACGGCAGAAACAATAAGCGGGAAAGAGAAGACGTAGGGTCTACCAGGGGCTGTGGCTTCTCTCCCCCACCACCACCTCCACCACATGCACAATCCCCCCACCACCAATCACGGCCTGAGACAGGTGTGTCGTGCAATCCCAAGTGCGAAGACCACTCACCTGCTGTAGCAAGAACAATGTTCCCATGTGACCCGAGGTGGCTGCAGCGTGTAGTGCTGTCTGGCCCTCCTGGTTCTCATACCTCATGTTGGGGTCCATGCCGTCCACTGCAAGGAGGGTTAGGGGGACAAAAACAACACAAATCAGAGTCCATGGGTCTGCTAATGAGTTTTAGTTTGAGTAGAGAGAAAAAGCATGCTCCCACAATAAGCATTATTTTGTGCTGGGGGGGGGGGGGGGGGGGTTCAACTCTTTGTTTGAGTACAGAGAAACACATTGACAAACAAATGGTCATATAGAGCAGAGAGAAAGACAGGAACAATCAGGAACAATAGACAAGAAAGAAACAAAATACGGAAAGATTTAAAAGGACAACCCCTATCAGAGGGCCCCCCCCCCCCCCCCCCCACCTCAACCATCACCCACAGACAGTTTTAGGAAGAGTAAGAGTTTAAGGGCTGCAAACACAAATAAGATCATATGTGTGCCAAAGATTAAAGGTATTACAATAGAGTAACAAACACACAAAAAAAGGAGAAGAGATCAGGACAACAGATGTATAATAGGAAAGAAGGAGCAAGACATACCAGAGCACCCGGCACCCAGAGACAGACAGTGTGGCACACATCAGTAATAGGTGAGGAAATGAGGACAGGACATCAGAAAAACCTAAAAATATGTTTGTATCTTAAAATAAAAGGCATCTTGAAGTCCTGAAGGAAACACAACAGAATAGACACATTCTCCAAAAAGAAACTTTCTTCAACACAGAGTTTCACAGTTTTTAATTAAATTTGTACAGAGAAAAGCACACAGGAGACAAAAGATGCTACCAACAACAAAAAATGAGCACACAGTCTGTCTCTCTCACCCAGCAAGTAAAAGACTTTCTCCATGTCTCCCTCGTACGCTGGTGTGTACAGGTCTTTGGGCAGAGTGCGGTATTTCTTGGGCCTATCAAACACAAACAGAAAAACAATATATAGTCACCAATGCATTAGACCCAGATATTACATTTAATAATATAATGAACTCAAATAATAATAATGCATTAAACACAACCAAAACAATCGGTAACATTAGTCATAAACAGTCGACGCAGACACAGACAACACAGTCTATCTAAACAGTTCTGTCAATTACATGGAAAACGATGACCAGTGTCAAATTAAATCATTTAGAAGGAAAGGAGTTATTCTGGGACAACCTCGGGGAAACAGGTCAGCTTGTACCATTGCCACTAAAATGGTAGCTTCTCATTCACTGATGACAGTTGAGCAATGAACTTCATAGGAAAATATCATGCTGATTTTGTTATTACCCATTCAAATGAATAAAGCATACAAAATTTTCAAAAAGGATTAACTATAAGATCTAAGACTGATTTTTGAAACAGCGTCCTCGTGACAATCACCTTAACTGACACTATGCTGGACCGATAACAACAATAACAACTGACACGATGACGTCTATCAGTTGTTAAGTTACAAGTCAGAAACACAGAGCACACGTGTGCACATACACACATACATGAACAGACAAAAGCAACATGGCGAGAGAAGAGGCTGACCTGCTGTCACTGAGGCAGCAGTATGTTTGTTTTGAGTGAAGAGAATCGCATCAACACAACGATGGTCATCTACTAGTCCAAGAAAAAAGCAAGACAGGCAGACAAAAATAATAGGGAAAGAAAAAAAAATAGAAGTACAACCTGCCAGTGGCACTCTACAACCATCCACTTTGAGGCAGAGGAGTCTGTTCAGAAAAAAAAAACCAACACAGATACACAAGCACAACACTACCCCAGAATCACCAAATTCTCTCTTCTCAGTATCTAGTTTTGAGTAATTTGACGTTTAAAAAATTTGAATTTCACAAAATGTCAAGCTTTTTCAAATGCAATTCGACTCCGAATAATCTTACTATTTTGATAGTGCAGATAGAACATTTGGTTTCTGACCTCTTGGTCCTAGAACCGATAACTAAAAACAGCCAAAAAATGTTAGAGAGAACTTTGCAATCTAAATGTAGCGACAAGCAACATGAAAATGAGAGAGAGGGAGAGGGCTCACCTGTCCTCACTGAGGCAGCGGTTGATTCTATTCAGAGCCAGCTGATCAGGACCCAGCAACATCGTGTCTGAAACAACAATACACACAAGAAATTCACCAGAGAGATCGTCTCTTATTAAACGTTTTACAGTGTTTGTAACATAATTAAGTCCTTGAAGAGCCAAGAATGACTTGAGAGTAACAAACGCAAAAAAAAAAAAAGAGGATGAAAGATAATGACAACAGACATTTGTGAGCGGCTCTGAGGAAACCCGTCGGAAGGTGCGAGAAGCTATTCTAAGATATCGCTAAAAATAGGCCCTGAACTTTATTTTTATCGAAAACTAAATTATATGAAATTCAGAAAGATAGACCATATCTACATCATATGTTTTAAGAAATTTGCTCAAAAGTGATTGAAAATATATTAAATAATTATTTTTGAGGACATATCGTCGCCGTATTACGCTGAATTCTTAGACAAACAGGGGGCATATTTACTCAATCGGATAGACACTTCTTTCCACGGGAACCCTCACGAATTATACATCAAAAGAGAGAGAATTTTATTGCCGTTTCGAGAAAACCCAATGCGCATGAATGTGTGAACATTACAAATAGTTCTGTGAGTTGCGCATGTTGTAGTTTCACTTCTGAAATGGTATTTGTCATGAATGCAGTTTAACATCTAATGTACTATTTCCTGCCGTTCAAACCAAATATGAACTGTTCCTTATTGACTTTAAGTTCTTTGTTCTGCTCTACGAAGTGTTTTTTTCCGAGTTTACTGTAAGTTAACTGATTGTTTTCTGTTTCCAAGTGGTCGAGCGCTTTTGTTTACATAATTTATTTGATTCAAGATGGCGGACCGATCAGCTGAGTGGCGTATTTCATCGATGTGGAACGATCTCAGTCGGATTGGAATGAGACAAATCAGACGAAAATGAATTGGATGAACTGATTATTGATTATTTCAATGCAAGACCTATTGATTGTGAAGACAGTAGATTCTAGTTTGGAGGAGGAGACACATGATGAACCAATTACGACGACGACCGTGGCCGTGACACACCCACACCCCCTGCTCATGACCATGATCTGGAATCTGGAACTTCATGAAGAAGTCCTGGTTCCTGTTCAACCAATTGGCATAACATCATCAGAAGGTAAGCAAGGTTTACCATACCCGCAGTCCCAGCTTCTATACTAGTCGGCCACCTCTATTCTCACCCGGGGTGAGAATAGTGCAGGCGAGTCTTTGAGCTATTCTCACCCGGTGCGCGTTCACCGTTATAGCCTAGATCTAGGCCAACAAATTTTGTGTTCACCCTAAACTACAGAATTCTACACTGTGATAACAGAAAAATTGTAGAATTCCATTACAACTGTAGCCTACTAAAAGCGTACAATTTTGTCTGTGGGCAGTGGAGAGAGAGAGAGAGAGAGAGAGAAAGAGAGGAGTAGCGCGACTTCCGGTCAAAACAAAATGGCGACCCGCGTAGTTCGGCTCGATTCGAAAAGTTAAATAGCCGTAGCATCTTTGTAGACAACCAAATTAATTTACTTTTGTGCTTTAACATCATTTTTTAACTCAGAGCCACACACGACTTCTGGCGCTCATATGACCTTATGCAGTTGCGAGCGCTGTAAAACCTCTATACCAAAACTAAACCCCCACACAGCTGAGCTTGTTTACCCACGGCTGCAGTCTCATGTCTTACTGTTAATGGACTCATGGTCTAGGTTTGGGGAAATTGTACTAACATATACATATACACCTTGGTATTGATTTTATAAGAACATCTTGAATTAGAGACATAGATTCAACTTTTGATTGAGGGAATTATTTTTAGGATCAAACGACTAAGATAAAATAGGGATGGGAGCATGGACAAAGCAAAGGCTATGGTGTGACAGCGGTGCTATCGGCTGACCATAGGAAAGACACATTTATCCGACATCGTTCTGATGTTGGGTGATCATCGGTTTCCGATAGTGTGTGGGAACCCGACATCGTCCTGATGGTGGCTTGTCGTCGGTTTCCGATGGTGTGTCGGTATCCATCATTGTGCCGATGGTGGGTTGTCGTCGGAAACCGGTGGTAAGTCGGTAATCATCATCGTGCCGATGGTGGGTTGGCGTCGGAAACCGATGGTAAGTCGGTATCCATCATCGCGCCGATGGTGGGTTGTCATCGGAAACCGATGGTAAGTCGGTATCCATCATCGCGCCGATGGTGGCTTGTCGACGGTTTCCGATGGTAAGTCGGTATCCATCATCGCGTCGATGGTGGGTTGGCATCGGAAACCGATGGTAAGTCGGTATCCATCATCGTGCCGATGGTGGGTTGTCATCGGAAAACCGATGGTAAGTCGGTAATCATCATCGTGCCGATGGTGGGTTGGCGTCGGTTTCCGATGGTGTGTCGATATCCATCATCGTGCCGATGGTGGGTTGTCGTCGGAAACCGGTGGTAAGTCGGTAATCATCATCGTGCCGATGGTGGGTTGGCGTCGGAAACCGATGGTAAGTCGGTATCCATCATCGCGCCGATGGTGGCTTGTCGTCGGTTTCCGATGGTGTGTCGATATCCATCATCGCGCCGATGGTGGGTTGGCATCGGAAACCGATGGTAAGTCGGTATCCATCATCGCGCCGTTGGTGGGTTGTCATCGGAAACCGATGGTAAGTCGGTAATCATCATCGTGCCGATGGTGGGTTGGCGTCGGTTTCCGATGGTGTGTCGATATCCATCATCGTGCCGATGGTGGGTTGTCATCGGAAACCGATGGTAAGTCGGTAATCATCATCGCGCCGATGGTGGGTTGGTAATCATCATCGTGCCGATGGTAAGTCGGTATCCATCATCGTGCCAATGATGGATTGTCATCGGAAACCGATGGTAAGTCGGTATCCATCATCGCGCCGATGGTGGGTTGTCATCAGAAAACGATGGTAAGTCGGTAATCATCATCGTGCCGATGGTGGGTTGGTAATCATCATCGTGCCGATGGTAAGTCGGTATCCATCATCGTGCCAATGATGGATTGTCATCGGAAACCGATGGTAAGTCGGTATCCATCATCGCGCCGATGGTGGGTTGTCATCAGAAAACGATGGTAAGTCGGTAATCATCATCGTGCCGATGGTGGGTTGGTAATCATCATCGTGCCGATGGTAAGTCGGTATCCATCATCGTGCCAATGATGGGTTGTCATCGGAAACCGATGGTAAGTCGGTATCCATCATCGTGCCGATGGTGGGTTGTCATCGGAAACCGATGGTAAGCCGGTATCCATCATTGCGCCGTTGGTGGGTTGTCATCGGAAACTATTATGACAAACTTCAGTTTTGACCTAAAAATTAATATTTTGACCGGTCATTTACTTTAAAATTTTATATTAAATGAAAGTTTCCTCATAATATGTATCTGTGTACATGTTTTTAATGTTTATCAACTCTGGAAAGCCCTCAGAGTACAATATGTAGTTCGTTCATAACAATTACTACAAAAGAAAAATACTGATTAAAATACATACCCATACACTTATGATAAAAATCAAAATATCAGAATGTAAGCAAGGTCTAATACATCCTCAAGTTGGGTTAAAATTAAAAATACATCCCAAAACAACTGTAAATTACATGGAATAAGGTTTCGTTCATAACCATTATGACACAATGTCATGTTCATAACATGATGACAATCCATTATGACAAGCATACTTTTGCCTCTTCTTCGCTTCTCTTTTGAGTCATCAGCACGCTACTCTTCCATGTTCATTCCACCATGTAAAAGGATGTTGTGAAACAGTGGGAAGTCCCTCATAAAGTGTACGTCCACAAATGGCACCTCAATGCTGTGGTATCAGCATTATTTGCTTCTATGCATTGTCATCATGGAAAATGTGTTCCCAAAGTAAGCAAAACTTTAAAACCTGTTTTCTCAAAATTTGACACTCGAACCCCTGTTCGCTTTAAAATGCCATAACTTTTCACAGAATGCTCCAATTGCTTTCAAATAAAGTGCAAAATGCTCGGAAAAGATGTGTCTTTTAAAATATGCAAAAAAGTTCATTTTGAAATTTTGCACCTTGTGAAGGGTTTTCTCAGAGCCACACACATTTGATAGGACAATAGGAGCAGACCACACTGGAGCATCCGCCATCCACCCACTTGTCGAGATCATCAATCGAACAAAGTATAGTTTTAAAATACACAAGACAAGAAAAACTTGTGAGAGATGTATGGTAAAACAATACACAGCTAGAAGATAATATCATCTACACACTGGGCAATGTTAGAATGCTTGAAAATGGTGAGTCTGGAAAGACAATTTTGTTCCAGACAGCTAAAACCACCATTCATAGACTAGACTACTGGTCACTAGAAGATGGTGGATATAACAATACACAGGTAGTAGTAGTAGTAGTAGTATAAGGTTTTACGGCGCTCGCAACTGCTAAGGTCATATGAGCGCGCGAAACACAAGTTGTTCACCTCTGCGAAAGTTCACTTCACGACTGGTAACTAATTTACTTTAAAATGCTAAAAAGTTAAAATATTCAAATTCGGTGTAAATACATTTGTGATCTAAAACAACTTTTAAGTAACAATAAAAATTTTTAATAATATCAGATTCACTTTACAACTCGCCATAAAGGCCAATGGCCTTTATAAAATTTAAAATTCTGCTGGGAACAACGACGGAGAAAATATCCTGCAATTTCTTGCATTTATAATATTTCCTTCGGATCTCTCCAAAGTCTAGACATTCTGTTAAAATGTGTCTAATGGTAAAATCTGTGTCGCATCCGACACAGAACGGCTTCTCCTCTCCCTGTAGGAGGTATTTGTGGGTCAGGGCCGTGTGTCCGATGCGCAATCGAGTAAAAATGACTTCGTCTCTTCTGGAGAGATCCGAAGGATTTCGCTGTTCTAGTCTGGGTTTAATTTCATATAATTTATTATTTTTCTGGTTTTCCCAGTGGCTCTCCCACAGACTGGAGGTGTACTTTTTGACTTTATTTCTAAAGTCACGTCTGTGGGAGAGTGTTTGTCGTTGATCCCAGCAGAAGGGATGAAGCTTTCTTCGCCAGGTCGTCTACCTGCTCGTTTCCTCGGATGCCCACATGGCTGGGTATCCATGCGAACATGATGTTTTTTCCTGTTTCGGATAGTGTATGGATTTTCTGTTGTAGCCTAACTATTTTTGGGTGTAGGAGTGTGTAGTTTGTGAGTGAAGTGATGCAAGACAGAGAGTCAGAAAGGATAAGGAAAGATTTGTTAGGGAATTTTCTACAGAGTCCAGTGCCATGTCAATGGCAGTGGCCTCCGCAGTGAAAATGGAGGCTTCAGGATGGAGTCTCCTCTGGTGTGTATTGTTGGGAGATAGGGCTGCGGCGCCCACTTCATTGTCTTTTTTGGAGCCATCCGTGAAGATGAGCTCCGCACCGGGGTATTTATCTATTAGTTTTTTGTATTCTGCTTGAAAAGTTTTGGTGTTTGTGCTTTCTTTGTTGTGTGTGGTCAGCTGTAAATCTACTTTTGCCTTGGTGAGGTGCCACGGAGGGAGGTCGGGGAAAAGAATTTGTTGGATGTCTTGTTTGGAAAAGTGTAAGTTTTTGAGGTCCTCGAGGATTCTGAGGCCGAAAGGTTTGATGAGTTTTTCGTTGTTTTGGAATCTGTTTCTGGTTTCTGGATTTGTTTGAAAAATGCTGTTGTGCGCTGGATTTTCCGGTGTTGAGCTCTGTTTAACTGCGTATTGTAGTGAGAGTTGTGTTCGTCTGAGTGAGAGTGGTGGTATGTTGGCCTCGGCCTGGAGGCTCTCCACCGGAGAAGTGCGGAAAGCCCCCAGAGCGAGGCGGGATTATCTCTCAACACCAGTAAACCCAAACCACGAGCACCATCTACTAAACAGTTTACTGAAACTAATGCATCACAACTAAACAATTTTCAAAATATTTCACCACTTACTCGACTTTCTTGTGGGTCACAGCCACTCAAGAAAGTACCTTACTTGTAACAACTGCTAAAAAAAAACAACTGACCAATTGCACCACAAGTGTAAAAATTATTTTCCTTATACGTCGCATCCACGCAACAATTTACCTACCTAAACTAACAGACTTGTTGGAAAGCCTGAGAGTCTTTGCCTTTGGCTCATTTGTCGACTTGCTCTTGATGAAGTTCTTGTCTGGGCCCATGCGAGCTGTCTTGCGTCTGGAAAGAACACGTCTTCTTAAATCACATGATGAATGACAGATGGCTTGTTTTGTTCGAGAGTAAGTAAGAGGTGCAAATCAAAACAATAACAGCACATTTAGTGAAGGGAGAAGTCAGACAAATCAAATAAAAACAACAAAGAGATAGAAAAGCTACCAGTGGTATCCTCCAATGTCCAACCACCAGCACACATCAATGTCAACCCATACATTGCCAAGGAGACCTTACAACAGGTTTACCAGACTAATCAAGAGCGACAGACACAGGCTCAGACAGGTTGATCGACACAGGCAGACAGACACAGACAAGCAAATCGAGAGAGGCAGAAGACAGACAGGCTGATCAAGAGAGGCAGACAGACAGAGACTGGCTAATCGAGAGACAGTCAGGCACAAACCCAGACAGGCTAATCAAGAGAGGCAGACAGACAGAGACTGGCTAATCGAGAGACAGTCAGGCACAAACTCAGACAGGCTAATCAAGAGAGGCAGGAGAACAGAGAGGCTGATCAAGAGAGGCAGAAGAACAGAGGGGCTAATCAAGAGAGGCAGGAGAACAGAGAGGCTGATCAAGAGAGGCAGAAGAACAGAGGGGCTGATCAAGCGTGGGACTCACTCTGCCTCCCTGCGTGCAGGGCGTGAAGACACCTTCAGCTCCTCTGGCTTCTTCTCCTCAGAGAGGCGCAGGTCGACCTCACACTGGCTGGTCTCCTCGCCACAGTGGGGACAGAAGTACTTGCCCCCGCGGTAGAACATGCACTGCTTGTGGAAGTTGTGCACCGAGGACTTACCCTCCCGTCGGCACTGCAGGAACTTGCCCTATCACACACACACAAAGACAGGAAGAGTGTGAGACATAGGCAGACTGTATTTTTGTTATAAGAGTTCTATGGCACTCGCAACACAATAAGCTCTTATAAGTGCCGAAGAATAGAAGCGTTACAAGAGAGTAACATACAGAAAAAAAGTAGGAGGAGAGACAAGGACGATAGATGTTAGGTAGGAAAGAAGGAGCAAACCACACCAGAGAACCCAACAACCACCCACATGTAGACTGTAAGACAAATGTAACACCCAGTGCCCATTGGGGAATCAGTTCTCTGTCACAAACCGATCTGCCAAGTCACAACCTTGAAAACAAACGAGTTTGTTTTTTAAGGTTATCGTCGACTTCGTTCGGTTGTGCCACAATGGTCACTTTTCGCCCTCAATCTGGCAAGCCCCCGCCTACCAAACCAAACTGAACCGATCATACAATAGACACATTTTGTCAAACTTTACTTATCCTCTCCAGCAGCCATCTTTGTTCAAGACCTTTGGCCTATACATATACACAGAAAAACAGATCATGAGACACAGACAGGCAGTTAGATTGTAAAACAGACTGTTTTAATTTTAGTAAGAGTTTTATGGCACAAGCAACACAAATAAGTCATAACAAGTGCCAAAGAAAAGAGATGTTTCTGAAGAGAGTAACATATAAAGAAAAGAATGAGGAGAGCTAATGGCAATAGATGTTTGGCATGGAAGCAGGAGCAAACCACACCACAGCGCCCATCAACCATAGTACAATCAAGATAGAACAAACTGAGGGAAAGAAAAGAAAAACCAATCAGTGACTCCTTCAAGACATCCAAACACAGACAGTGCGAAACTGAAACTGGCAACCCACAAAATTCTCCTCCTTCCATATATCATGGGTCTCAAATCAGAATTTTTAAAAAGGAGGAACTTTCCGCTTGATTGCTACAGAAGACTACTTTCACGAGACACCCATTATTATTATACTGTTTAAACCTAGAACGCTGAAATAAAAACCATCAATTTATCAAAGCAAGGTTATTTCAAACCAGTTTGAGGGTTTGGAAGATCATTTCAAGTAAAAGAGCCACTTACAAATATTTACATTCTAGAGTAAGTACAGAAAGTGGTGGTGCATTACTGGGTAGCGGAGTTTAGCGGAAGAAAAGGTGGTAGCAAAAT